GTATTTAGATGTAAATAATTTGTACGGTTGGGCAATGTCAGAGTCTTTACCATTCGGAGATTTCTCATGGATGGAAAACGTTGAAAATTTCAACGTAATGAATATCGCTGATGATGCACCTGAAGGATATATATTGAGAGTAGACTTAGAATATCCTCGCGACTTACATAACAATCACAAAGACTTTTCATTTGCTGCTGAACATCGCATACCACCCGGCTCAAAATTACCAGAATTAATGACAACACTTTACGACAAAAAAGATTATATTTCACACTATAGAAATTTAAAACAATGTTTAGCAAACGGACAGAAACTGACGAAAATCCACAAAATTTTGAAATTCAGGCAATCTACATGGCTCAAATCGTATATAGATCTCAATACTGCTTCGAGGACTGTAGCAAAAAATGAATTCGAGAAAAATCTTTATAAACTAATGAATAATGCAGTTTTCGGTAAGACAATGGAAAAAAAACGAAAGCATAGATTGGTGAAACTGGTGACATCGTGGAAGGGTCGCTATAAAGCCAAAAATCTTATAGCTAGTCCACGATTCCGTGGTAGGACGATTTTTGAGAAGAAAACTTGATTGCCGTAGAAATGCAGAAAGCCGAAATAATTTTTAATAAACCTCTATACGTAGGAATGGCTATTCTAGATTTATCGAAATTGTGTATGTACAAATTTCACTATGAGTATAAATATGCTTTCGAGAATGGGTATTGAAAGGTGTAAATTATTATATATGAATACAGACAGCTTTATATATGAATTGAATTGTGATGATGCATATGAAGAAGTTATAAAGGATGATCTCTCTCAATTTGACAAATCTGAATATGCTCCAGATAATGAAATAATATGCCACTAGTAAATAAAAAAAAGTTGGGTTTATTGAAAGATAAAGCGAATGGGAAAATCTTTACTAATTTCGTAGGACTACGTTCGAAAATGTATGCATATAAAGTACAAGGGGGTAAGGTTGTCAAAAAATCGAAAGGGGTGAAAACTAATGTTGTCAAGAATAAAATTGGGTTCGAAGATTATTTGAATTGTTTGAAGAATTTCAGATAACAAACAGTGTCTCAACGTACTATCCGTTCATATGCCCACAGTGTGTTAAGCATTCAACAATCAAACATTGCTCCCAAAGATGATAAACGGTATTTGATTCCAGGTTCGTTTGACACATTGCCATGGGGTCATACAAAGGCAAAAGAGTAATTTTTTTCATGTAAATCATTTCATCAAACATTTATAAAGGAAAAAACTCATACACCTACACTTACACTTCTCTGTTTTAGATTCAGAATCATTATTTGGGCTTAAAGAACGATATGAATGTGATATGGATTTACATGATTCACATTATCATTATGAGAGATTCATCGATTCTGGTGATGAACATACAGATATTGATTCTTGACTCACTTTAAAAATATTTTACAGATTTTAGTAGCATGATATCATCTTTACAAATGTAGTTTGCGAAAGGAGACGATGAAAAATGACTTTTTTTCAGAATATGTTTTTTCTTATGAAAATGTAATACTTGTCCTGGCTATTAATGTGAATATAATATATGCTGCCTATCTATCATTGATAAAATAATTATTGAAATTTTCTGTGTATCATTGGGATGGGTAGTGAGTGTAAGAGAGAGTGAGAGGATGAAAAAGTGAGAAGAAGAGAAAGAGAGAGATTGGATGGATATTAGTTGAAGGTATGGATGTGAAAAACAGTTGTATCATGTCTTCTGACGAATACAGACGTGCACTAGAAGAATTTGGGTTGAAAGTTAGAAAGCTCAGTGCAGACATCCAATTGTATGAGCAGAAAGTTTGTTTGTTCAAAGATTTCGAGCAATTGAGTATTTGGGACAAGGTGTTCACAGAACCAAGACGTTCAGTTGCAACGTTTCCTACATCGAGAAGAATCCAACCAACACAGCTAGATGGCGATACTGAAAGCAAGCTTCATTCTATTGACAGCTCTGAGCAACAACGTCTGCTACACAAACATACCATATGATACGAGGAATGCAGCCATATGTTCTGATATGAATCGTACACAACAATGTGATTGGAACATGATGATAACAAACTACCTGTATATTCAATCGACATGCCTCGAGACAATGGGACCACTATCGACTACAAATTGAAATTATCGTTCTCTGATGGCAGTGACGGCGAAACTGGGGACTGGCAGACATTTACATTGAAGAAATCACTCGCAAAATTAGATGATGATCAAGATTCTGTCAATATCATTGCAGTTTTGACACTTTGTTGTACACTAATATGTTCACTCATTTTAATTTCACATGTTATTTTCATTATAATGCAAAATGAGGGATGTGATGAATAAAAACTCTGAAATTACGATATATAGTTTTTTATTTAGGTATTGAATTACATAGTCAATCATATAAAGTAGGTATCGACATTGTAAAGACTGCACTGGAACCTTCCTCCGCGGAAATGATTCATGCAAGGTGGAATGGATTGTTGAAACGTTATTGGTTGCCATCAAGAATTGTCAAAATCTTCTGAATTCACAATGTGATTGGTCATCTCCAACTCTGCACATTTTCGCTGCAACAACTGAATCTTTTGGTGTCCTCTAACGTAGATGATATTTGTTTGCTGCAGGTTGTCTTGTAGTATTCCATCGAACTCATTAGAATCCACATAACCACTGGAATATCTCAAACCATGCACATAGCGTTCCAGGTGATTTGCCATCTTTTTATCTTCTCTGCTTAAACTCGAAAATTCAACAGATGGCTTGAATAGAAAATGACTCGTCTTTTTGCCAATGCGAATGGTCATTTCCTTTGGAATGAATTCACTATCAACCATGAACCCTTGAATGTCAACCAGTGCGATCTCCATGACTCTTCGAAGCAAACTGACGTCTGACTGATGCAGCAACACCTGACTAGGCAATATTTCGAACAATTTCGCTGAGTGGGAGATGTTCCATGATTTGATCGTGAATGATGATGCAATAGGCTTTGGTGTCGGGAGGGAAGCCTGTAGTCGCTTCAATGTCCAACTTTATGTCAACTGTAGACGACTTTAGACCCAGATAGCGCCTCGAGCAATCGATAACAAACATTGGTCGGGATTTGAATTCGGCAAAGTTTACTAAAGAGCGCTTTTCTTGACGGTTATGGTAGCTCTTGTTGAACTCTGTATAGTTCATGATATTTAGAAACGACAAAAACATTTTTATTGAAAAAAATCAACAGTTTTGTTTATCGTTACAGTTAAAAAGTTGTCATACATTCATTTAGCATGATATTGACCAATTCAGAAGCGTGCAAAATTGGAAAATCAGAATTTCGGTCTCATTATAATTGTTTTTTACTTATCCATGGTGGGAATCCAAGTAATCCATTGGCGTATTAAATTGGATCCATCATCAAGGCGATTCAAAAAGTTTCATATGGAAACATTTTCAATAATTTTTTCAAGTGTTGTTCTTTGTTCCCCAGTAAAAATTTTCTTGTATCAATATTTATGAATGAAAATTCAAAAACGTAATTCTGGCTTCTGATGTTTTTCGAGCAGTACAATTTCATAATTTCATCGGAAAAAATTTCAAAAAATCTTGTTGATTTTTTTCAATAAAAACGTTTTTGTCGTTTCTAAATATCATAACCTCTTTTTTGCGCACCTCTGAATTGGTCAACATCATGCTAATTAAGGATATGACACTTCTTCAACTGTAACGATAAAAACGAATTTTTTGTTTCCAAATATCATAAACCCCTTTTTGCGCGGTACTGGTGTTAATTATCTTCAGTAGAAATATCCCTTGTTACAGTTCAGATGTTGGCTGTTATTGTTCAACTAAAAGAGGCCATATTTTGAAATAAGAATGAAATTACATAAAATGGCGATTTTTCCATAGCAACGCAATCTATCAAAAAAATTTCAAAGACGTCTCGAGGTATCGTACCAACCATTCACCCAACATCTCAAAAAGAATTGTATGGTCCCTCACATTTCTCAAATTATTGGTCAAACATCTGAAATTTTTCCGGCTCTTAATTCACACTCTGTACAAAGAGAACGAATCGCACAAATAAAAACCCGGCGCCAATGACGCATAGCCGAAGGATGATGCTTTCTACCTTTGGTTGAAAATCCAACATCGGACAAGAAATGTTCGAGTTATAGCTTATCAAAATTAGTAAATTCTTTGGCTGTCCCACTTCATCTGGTAAGTAGTTTATATATTGATAAAAAATAACGAATGATGATAATGGGTCTTCAACAATGATTGAAAACCACGTGAAAGAAAGTTCAAGGAAAACAAATCCAAAATAAAAGTATATAGGCAGTCTAGGTTTGAAAATAATTTTTTCTCCAAATGACATCAGAAGTTGCTTTTCAATGACACTCAACATAGCTGTACTTTTACTTCCTAGACAGAAAAAAGTTGTTGCATATGCAACGTCGTATCAAGTAATAATTTGATTCAAATTGGTAATCAAAATCAACAATGTCATTGTTGAGTGAACAAAATGATGGATTATTTGGAATCTGTCTGAAATTGAAACGAGTTTGGAAAAAAATATGTTCCACATGGCAGAAAAGAATATTCAATGCCTTGGCCAGCCGCGGCATTAAATCTTGTTTTTTCTCCCTAGTAAAACAAATAACTATTAATAAATGCAATCATATTCACCTAATATTAGTTTTGTTATATTCTCCATAGACTTGAATGGGAATTTTTCATTTCTACCTGACCAATTGACCACCAATGACAATTTATGTGCGATCATTTTGTCCAACATTCTTCTTATTGTTTCACCAACATCTTTACCCCCAATGAACTTCATTTTATTGCACTGAAAACATGTATATACTTAAACATTTATATTTCTAAATATCCTGATAATTCTGAATTGAAATGTTTGCTGATAATTTCAAAAAATTAGAGATCAGTAGATACCATTTCAGAAAAAAATTATCCTCCAACAATTATTTTTTGAGCTCTCTCAGATCGTCCACAGTTGAAACAGACTCAACTGTCATATTCTCCTGTGTATTTATGTCATTGGGTAAGTTTCTTTCGAGATTCCTTTGAACTAAATTTGTCACTAAATCCAATTTCTCAGAAAATATTTCAGTTTGTGTGATAGAAGACTTCACAAGCGCTGTAAAAAATCAAAAGTATATTGTTCACAGAAATCACAAATTGGAAGATCTGGAGATATTGAAAATTTGTAGATTATTTCCAAAAGTTATGCTGAGAAAAGATATTCTTTACCTGTAACAATGTCATCTGTTTGAATTTTATTTCTTTGAGAATAATATAGGATATTCGACAGCAAAAATTATTCTCCACAATTATTTGATATGGTTTGCCAGTGCGGTAATCAGTTTATTTGAAATTAATTTGTTTGGCTAATTTTTGGAACTTGTCTGATATTTACTTAAGATTTTGAAGTTTGACAGATATTGACTCATTTTTTTCTCACAGATTGAAGTTACACATTATGATATTCAAAATGGATAAGAAGCAAACACTGATACAGGGTGGTCCAACAAAAATGAAACAGACTATAAATCTTGTTACAAACTTCAGAAATGAATCATTTCAAATAATTAATGTATAATTTAGAGAAATCATATAATCAGGAATGCAAATAAATGGAAACTTTGAAAGAACCAAGCTTGTTTGTTGAACATAAAAAAATTTTGTTCCAAAATGTGTTCTAGACTTGTGCGAGCAAGGCATGACATAGGCCTTTCCTTTCAATGTGTGATCCCAAACACTTTCTTGGGCCGTCAGAAAAATTTCTGATGTCGCTGAACTTCGAACCCAGTCCACCTATTCAATAAACTTGAGATTTTTATTATATTTTATATATGTTTGTGTATATCATGTAATATTGAAGAAAAATGTAATGGAATAACTGAAATGAATAAATAAATGATAGGCAAAGGACAGGTATTGAAACAGTTCTCCTAATCTTAGACGACTTACTTTCAATTCTTTTCACATATTTGAAGAGCTCTTTGAATGTATATAGGGGCTCTTCAGGATCTTGCACAAGTGTTCTTTCATTAGGTGAAAAAACAGTTGTGTTGTGATTTTGTTCCATGGATGGTCTTGATGCTGAAAAAACAGTTGTGTTGTGATTTTGTTCAATGGATGGTCTTGCTGGTGTATTTCTTGGTTTGGTGATTTTTGGCACTGCTGGTATTTCTTCATCATCAGAAGATATTTCACGTTGAGATGAAAATGTTTGTTTTTTATGAAAACTTTTCCTGGAGGGTGTTTCGTCATCTGAGAAATACTTTGTATTTTTTCTGGATTTCCTTTTTGTTACAGAACCATCCTCATCTGCACCATCAGATATGTTTTCATTTTGAAAAATTTCGAGTACAAATATTTCAAACACATTCTGGAAAATAATAGAAAATATCAACTTTTAAACTGCATTTTCTAAATTTAAAATTAAATGAAACTAATCATTCAAAGTGCATTAAGAACCATATTTTACTTCAATTTGATTGTAGGAACATAATTCAAATGTGTAACATAATTTAAATGTAGGAACATAATTTAAATGTAGGAACATTTATTAAATGTAGGAACATAATATAAATACTTTGATCAATGAGAAAAAAAAATTCTCACATTTTCAAAAATATGTTAACAACAGCATCATCATCATTTATGTTACATCAAAATATAGAGTATCTCTATACGGAAACAGAAATGGTTTGTCTAATAAAATAAATATGTAGGAACATAATTCAAATATAGAAACATATCATAAATACTATGATCAATAAAAAAACTATAATTTCTCACGCTTTTTTGAATATTTTTAGGGAACAACAGGATCTGCAACATTTATGTTGCATCAAAATAAAGGGCATCTCTATAACACAACAGAAATAGTTTGTCCGATAGAATAACTATGTCTTGCAATTTCAGAAATAACGAAAAAAATATTTCAGATTTAAACAGGTTGCGATCCTTTGCTCTCATATGCATGTCGTTTGAAACCATGAATGATTATATCATAATGTCAGTCTTACTGTGAAAATTCCTAATATGATTTCATAACAAAAATTACCCACTTATTTTCAGTTCAATGAACAATCACAACACACCAAAAATATGTTCGTCTCTGAAAAATTGATTATATTGATGGTTATCTATACTGGTCCAAATTTGGTATGACTAAAAGCTGAGATATAGAGGGAAGGCCGTTTGAAGTGAGACACGCTGTATATACAGAGTGGTTCAAAAATGTGTATGGAGCTTTCTGGAGGTAAAAGTACATTGAAAAATACGTAAAGTTTCATTAAGGAAGGTAGATATATCCTTCCACAGTTAATCAAATTAAAGCTATTTATTATACAAGGGAAAAAAGTAGTAGACTTCAGCTCAGTGAGCTAAAATCTGATATTTTTCCCGTGTATAATACACAATTCCCGTGGGAAAAAATTAATTTATGAAAAGTGAAATTCAATAACCTGATCAATCAAGTGAAGAAACTTAAATTTCTTGTGAATCCTCGATTATCTAATACACCTAAATTAATAATACAAAATAAACAATACTGAAACTTGGACTTACTTATTATAACTTGACCAAACTTTGTGGTGATCAGGCCACTTTTGTCTTTTGTGCCATACCAGGTATATTTCATCAATAGTGAATTTTTCATCACCCAACTGAGTGATCTTTTGACGAAATCATAGATATCAGCGCCACCCATTCTTGCGATCTCAATCACCTGCAAAAAATCATAATCAACAATGAAATAAGATTTCGAGAATATCAATCAATGGCCAATAATAACAGTGAATTAGCATTTTTGAATTGAAAGAATAGAAAAAAACTTACTGTTGAATTGAATTGTTTTTCATCGGTGAGATATTCTTCCAGTTTCACAAATTCTTCCACACTGGATAGTGGAAAATTGAAATTAGAATTTATTGAAGAATCTGGTTGGATGGCTTCCTTATTGATTTTTTTCATCTGGCCTGATAATTTCTTCATCTCATCAATATTTTCGGTTATGACTGACATTATCATATTGTGTTTCTTCGATATATTTTTGATTTCAGTGGTCAGATTCATGAGAGTCATTTGCAATTCTAAAAAAAATGGATGTAGGAAACAAAAAGTGGCGTTTTGAATTGTCTGATCAATCAACAAATATGTGACATAATAATGATACACCCTGAATACTGAAATTAAAATGAATGAATGAAGTGCAGGACCACAGAAATCTCACTATTTTTATGAACTGGGCAGCATGTACAAAACATATTCAATTCTTGTTGAGGAATTGAAACTACAGAATTTCCATCTTCTGAAAAAATGAAAATTAGGTATTAACAGAAATAGTAGGAAGCCCGTCACTTCAGACCAGCCCCACCCCTCCACTTTTTTCCAAACCACGTGACCCGACTAGTCAATCACAGGCCGGCTTGACTCAGCTAGCTACTCGCGGCCCCACGAGCGGAGCGAAATTCAAATTGTCATGACATCATCATCGTGAATAAATTAAAAAAACCTCCACTGCTGGCGATCGAACTCGGGTTCTTTGCATTGTGGGGCAGCGTATACACGCACTGAGCCATTCAGGAGGCCACGAAAATTTCACTATGAAAACCGTATTCAAATGGGATCATCGAGGATCAGCGAGCAAAGCTATATATAGGTTGATAAGACGTTATAAATAAATATTTCCATGATAACGACAATATACCAAGACTCTGCGTGATAAGAGTCGCTGCCTTGAACAATGCTGCCAAACCGCCAGCTGAAAATGTTTTGTGTGGCATGGGGAACATAGTAGAGCTAGATGTGTATAAGTGATATTTTGCACGAAAGAATGACATCAGCAATCATATCAGACAACTGACGTGCTAGCTGATGCACCCGTTCAATATACAGTGTGCTTGTAAAAAAGTTTATATATATATATATATATATATATATATATCTAACGGTTAGTTCCAGGACTATTTTTGAATCGACTATATATAGCTCAAATCGATCATATATAATGTCCTCTTCCTAATGATGGATGAATTTTGGAAAAATATCAATTTATATTTTAGTATATTCCAGAGATCATATAGTTCCGGGACATTATTTTTTTCGATCTCTCAAAATCCCATATGCATTTACAGGGTGATTCATAATGATTCGTAAGAGCAATAGTGGAATCCTCAAATCAAAATATGGCCAAATATGACTTCAATATTAACTGGGTGCTATTAATTGAAATATTTCATTCATTATTTTGGAATATCAGATTCCGCTTCACATGTATTATCAAAGACACCGTTTTCGGAAGTAATGGTTCCTGTCTGATACAGGATCACACTAAGAAGTAGAAAGAAATAACTTTCCGTGGTTATGAGCCGATCATATAAAAGTTTTTAAGATTTGGAAATGATAAGTATTGGTCGCACATAAAATCTTTTGAGAGTGAATCAAGATGATTACCTAGAGAGAATTTTCCATAATGATAGCAATATTTTATGAGGGGCCCAATGATTATCTTCCACAAATAATGAGAATTATCATATGATCAGGTCATAACAACTTGAAAAAATCGTATCTTCTACACAAGGCAATGTTGTTCCGTGAGATTCTCAATGATAGAATTCATTGTTATGACCTGTTCTATCATACTAACTTGAAAAAACCATTGTTATAGGCATATTACTTTTGTAGTTGGAAGTTTTGTCAATTATCAAAAAGTCAGTGTCAGTTGTGAGATGAAATAAAGAGATTCATAAAAATATGCAGTTCAGTTTATAGTTTGCGGTGATAAATTGATAAAGATATCCACACAAGATCCATAGGCCTCAACAGGTTATGCGCCCAGATTGTCCAGATAGAAAATAAGGAAAAAACAAGAGCTGCAATCAGCTAAGCAAAAGCGAGGGGAACTAAGACAATAAAAATGGGTTCACTAGTCATACCGATCTTGGAAGCAAATAACTTCAACGACTATGAGGTGCGACAGTTGATTGGAGAAAGTAATCAAGTTGCTGCTATTTTTGGTTGAACCGAAAGTCGAAATTGGCTGCGTCATTTTGTTCAAAACGGCTTGACCGATTCGTATAAAAATATTTTCGCGTATTCGGTAGGTATAAGAATTATTTTTCGAATTGAAAATTAAAGATGGCTGATGCAATATGGCAAACGAGTTTAATGATCTGATTTCATTCAAAATTGGTATATGTCTTTGTGGTCAGAGATTATGATTCTCTCATCAAAATTTGGAAATTCAAGATGGTGGATCTAATATAGCGGACGAGTTCTGTAATTATAGTCCGATTTCATTCGAAATTGGTATCTAAGGGTTTTTGGGGTCGAGAAATATTGTTTATGGCATAACAACGTTCACCGGGTCAGGTAGTAGGATCATAGAATTCGATTTTTCTATCAATAAAAACAAGAACCATATCTGGTGGTAGACACCTCAACCGTCGACAGGTATGTTTCTTGATAGGTATGTTCTCTAACTGAACGATTT